CCCCAAAACCCCAAAACCCCAAAACCCCAAAACCCCAGTAGGAAAAGATAGTTTAAATTTTTCTGGAATTAAATCAAAACTAAATATAATGTTTTAAAATATCCCCAAAAGCTCATTTCGAAAATGTATCATATCGCTAATATCTTTTTCTATTTTGCATATTCTTATCATCAAAGAGATCTGACATTTGATCGATTGATGTCACGAAATTGTTATCTTTAATGGAAGCACTTGAATAGCTATTAATTAAAGAGTTTTCATATTCTATCTATTCTTAAAAAAATTCTTCGTTGTTTTTTGTTCTTATTCTTTAAAAATGTGATCGATTTATTCTATTATCTCAAGATTTTCTCTTTTATCCTTTTAATTTCCGATCTCTAAGTCTCGAAGTGATTCTAGTGATTAATCAACTTTTGAACCTTTCCTGCCTTCAATTTTGACAGTTCTAATGCTTATATTATCTCGTGAATGAATTCTCTCTTAATCAATAATGATGCTGCCTTTCTAATAGAGCAAGTCTTCATCTTTCTTTAGTTCAATGCATTTCAATAATCGCTTATCAATCTTAGACTATCTAGGTTGGGAGAGAGCAGTGTATAATTGATTTTTCATTTTTTTAATATCTATTTTTTCTTTTTCTCTATTCGCTTCATTTAGAAGGTTGCCTTTGAAATAGGGTATCAGATGACGTTAGTATTTTTGCATAATAACTTTTTGTAAAAATTTCAGGTTCCTTAATTCTCTCACGATATATCTGATATCCAATTCTTTATTAAGTTTCTGTATTCCATTTTTATACAATCTTGCACGGAATTACTCATTTTAACTAAGTTTTCTGCAACATAGGCGAAAATTTTTTAGTCGAGCCCTTAATGTATCTGCAATTGAATAATCTAGTTTGACTCTCTGCTTGAACTAGGAAAATATCTGTTCAATTCATTTTTTTAAACTCATATCATGAACATCAGAGGCATTATCTATAGTTTAATTTAAACTTTTTGCTAAGAGTATTTTTAAACTTACATCTGCGGTCTGCACTAAAGTCAATATTGGTAAATTCCTTTTAACTCTATCCACTCATGCTCTGTTCACTGATAATTTTCTCGTTTGTGTTATTATTACTGTTAGTTAGATCAATTATTACTCTTCCTTTTCTGAACTGGCTGATTATTCCTTTAAATTTTGGCTTAATTTTTTTTTCCTCAACTAACTAATATTTGAATAAGCTCTTCACTAACGATGTGAAGTAGATTGTTTCCTAAAGATATTGAATCATAGTGAGTGTAATAACAAAGAGAACACTCATAAAACCACCAGTTTTGTTCAAGACATCTGATATTGAATATGCCTGTCTAGTAACTGTCTTTACAGTATCATCCATCTATATTATTAGTGATATGAATGAGTTGTTTTAGCCTGAAATTTTAACTTCTTATAAATTCAGGTAAT